CAAGAAATGAGAAGACAAGCAGAAACCATGCTGTGAATACATGATGTAAGAAGGGGGAGAATGAGTATACATGTACATGTATATGGCCATGTTCCATGCTCTCATGAAGCAAGACTTCTACACAGACCTTCCTCAAACTGGGAAAATCTCATGGTGGCAACTTTCATTATCAGCATTCATTTTCCTGAAAATTCTCTTCTGCCAATTTCCAGAAGTGTTGCTGCTTGTAGTAAATCTTGTTTTCACCTTGCAAAGTTTTTAATTGACAAGAAATCCTTGAACACAGGAGTGACAGATTCTGAGATTGCACTTGGAAGGGGAGAAAAAACAACAACAGTACTTCAGACTTTGGGACCACTGTTCTCAAAAGCATCACCGTGGTTTTCATGTACAGTATACTCATTCCCCGGCAATCCAATTTTTAGCTTTAAATATTCAAGGATGTTATTACTGCTTGGCAACGGAAAAGTTACTCATGATCCATGGCAAAGGATGCTGGGTAAACAAGCATGGTTAAATGTTACATGTATGTTAAATGAAATGATTCCACAAGGGTGCACACAAGTGGGGCTTGTACAGCAGAAACAAAATGAGACAAACCAAACTGGAATTTGAGGATATACATGTAGAATTTCAAAGCAAGTCAGCCTCCATGATATATGTTATCAGCATTATTCTTTGACAAAAGTAAAGTTTTCAAATGCAATGTTTGAATTGTAAAGGGAACAGTATATTAAAAGAAACCATAAGCAAATTGCATTCACTATCAACATGTTTGAATTTCAATTAAGAATTTTTCTATTTGATACTGTCAGATGTGAATGGTACACAAGAAACACAAAAATGCTTTAGACAGAGTGCACGGCCCTTGCTTAATGAGTGTAGCCTAGATATAATAATAAAAAAAGTCAGCATTGCAGCAATCCCCAGCCCGTTGTGTCTCTGCTGCATCAAGAACTTCGTTTATTATTTACATGTATACGCTCGCTTTGTTACAGCAGATGAACTGAGCTATCACATCAACTGCTACACAAGGGATCAATCAACATCAATAAAGCATGGGAAAGAATTCAGAACCAGATCCGTGAGGGCTGCCCATGTTTCAGGAAAACAATAAATACGTACAAACTATGGAATACCTTGCAGTGAAGTTTTTGGGGCTTAACTTTACTTCATAATGCCAGAAGCAAGTTCAGTGTTGTTTGCATCAAAGAGCTACCGGTACATGCAATAACATCGATTCTGTTATAGTTACCATGGAAAGCCAGAAAACTGAAATTCTAAAAAGCCCCATGAAATTGAAACTGCATGTACATGTTTTTATTCATAAATGTAAAGGCTTTGGGGTGTGGCTTCCGTCATTTTATTCGTGTGAATAGTATCAGTTGCTGCAACATCTGGAATTACTAGAGAGTGCATCAATTCTTACAAGTTATAAAGTATTTTTTAAGATAGGGTTTTAGGGCTCCAAATTATGACCACGTTAACAGTCCCAATGTTGGTGAGTTTTGTTACTCAATCACAACCACGCATTATGTACATGTATTCACTTTGGGTCTTAATCAAGTGACGACTGATGTACTATGTACACACACTCTTATACAAATTGTCTGTTTTAGGGTTAATTCTGCCACATTTTTGGCCGTTGTTTCTTTCCAGTCCCAAATGGTTCCGACCAGTATTATGTGTATCTGATCCAAAGAAATCAGCCCCATGTGTAGCAGTCAGGTGACAGACACCAGTTGATAGCACCTGCTGGGTACCAGCCATGTCAGTGTTGTAGTCAAGTACTTCCAAAATGTTACACAAGTGCACAAGTTTGCCACAGAAGTACTTAAAAATCTTCACAAGTACATGTACATGTATATCACAAGTAGCCCCAAGAGAAGCCACAGTTTGACCTAACGATATGAGATCTACCTGTAACCACAAAGCTACAGGTAAATTAAATTACTAGAGTACTACCTGCTCCTCATTCTTCATTTCAACGAGTTTGGTCGTCTGCTGGCTGCAGACATTTTGAATTCAAGTGTTTGTACAATACGCAAGTACTACATTCACATTTGTTTTATTTCCATACATGATGTGCAGATACTAATCTGCAGTGCAATGGGCATACATAATTGTTGTCTACATGTACTTTTTGGCATATCCGTTTTAAGATTCCCCGGTATGCTATTTTTAGTTTTTTATAGGTTAGTGTGCACGAACATTGCTACAGCCAGCAGGCTTAAAATCACTTTGAAGTGATCTAGTTAGCACACTGTACATGTAGTATAAAGACTGGCTTTTATTAAAGTCATCCCCTGCTCCACGTAATAATGCAAGTCCTTGTAATAGTACATATTTGTACATGTACCTGTGACAACTGGAATACTTGTGATTGGTACTCGACTACAACACAGTCATAAATACTCTACCTGGCACTCATCTGTAACCTGAGCTGAGTCAGGTTCTTGTCAGAGTTCAACTCTTGGTCACTACACTGGATGCGGTACCTGGCAATCTGAGGGGGAAATTTTAATGTGCAAGGTGGGGAGACAGGGGACAAGACATTGTCAAAGATACACATTACACCAACAAGAGAAATTGACTCTGAAATGACAGTGAATACAGTGGACTGATGGTCAAGGAAATGATTTTGGTCTCAACACAAATACAGCCAGGGTGTGTTTCACAAAGGCCAACTTTTTACATTTTTGTAGACAACTGACCACTGGATGGTCATAAAAATTGGCCAATGTTGGCAACACCTGCCTTGTTTCTATGCACAGAACACAGTCCTGGCAAGTCCAAATGGTTCGGAGTGCACATGTAAGAGTGACATGCAACGCTTTGAGAGTGTTTTTTTTAACATGTGCTCCAGTTCATGAGCTATGGTACTAAATACATTTTGGCCATTGGCAAATGACCTCAAAATCTGTATTTTTGATTTCTCACAACCAAAAAAGTGAAGGGGGGAAGGAGAAGGGTGACCACATGTTCCATCCCCTTCTGCTCCAAAATGGGGGACATATGAATCTACTCCAATTCCCCCTTCCTTCCTTTGGATTTACTCCCCTGGGTTTTGTCCTGGTGTAGTTCACATTACAACTGAATACCAATCTGTATCAAAAATTGCTAAAACCAAGGAAGTATTACACGGCAAGATTGTGTTGTATCAACTAGTTAACAAACTCCATCACACGGCAACCAGCTAAGTTGGTACTGCACACATTGAAACAATCTTACCTTCTGTTACTCCCAAGCAGAGCAGAGATGCAGAGATCAACATTATAGACACAACATCAGTGAAAACTGTACATATACTTTTCAGCTACCTAGGCCACCATAAGCAAGACGGGACTGTTAATTTTTAATGACGAGTTCTGCCCTTACACCAACGTACCCGCTGCTACACCAGACTCGGACCGGCCAGCCAACCCCGGCAAGCTCGATGGTCGAGTGGTTAAGACATCAGCACTAGTAAGCAGGAGGTCGTGGGTTCGAGTCCCACCCGACTAAGTTTGTGATGCTTTAAAATTTCTTGGGCAAGAACTGAGAATACATTGTTATTCAATAATACATGGATGTAAGGGCAAAACCCGTAAGTAAAAATTAGCATCTTCCCAACACAAGCACATCTTGAAATGGTGGGGCTGGTACGTACACATATAAATGCCTGAATGTATCCCTTCTATGGACTGGCTGATCACTGATTAAACGAAGGTGAATTGTTTCAGTGGAACTGGCCAGCTAACCCCAGTGGCAAGCTCAATGATTGAGTGGTAAAACATGTGCAATAGTGAGCAAGAAGTTGTGGGTTCGAGTCCCACCTGAGTAAGCTTGTGAATTTTTTTCGCAAGCTCTTGGACAACACCGAGTTTAAAGTGTTTATAAATATCAATAAAGGGCGAACCATTCGCTATAAAAGAAAAAAAATCTCATAAAGAACAAATTCCATTCCACAGTTCAAAAAAGTTCCACATTAATGGCACTGTACAGTGTACATATACATGTACAATGCAACTAATGAATGTTGAATATTTGAGCAACGGAATGAAGAATTTCATGTTATTGACAAGAATTGTCCACAAAATTGGCTTGGTCTTCAGGGGTAAGGAATTCATCTATGACTCCATGAAATGCCACACTACCACTGCACTCATACAAATTCATTATTTGTATGACATTCCTTGGGCATTTCTTTGTGCTCATTATTTCCAAGCAAAGGCATTAAGGGCCAGTTACTTATTCAGCAGCTACATATGTCAGCTTCACTCGTGTAGCGTACCATATTCAGTAGGTCTGTGCAAACTTCCCAGGTCAACAGTCAATGGACAAAATTCAGGCCTCAACCTAATTAGCCAATTTGGTGTTTGAGCCTAACATGCACAAGAACAAAGTGTGTCATAGACAATATGAAATAATTGATATGAGTGCGTATCCAAAGCCCTGTGAATGTGGCCATGCCCACTCAAATGCACAGAACAGGTGCCTTTATTACAAATAAATTTGTCTCAATGAAATACCAATTTGCCTTGTGATTCAAAGAGACAGACAATGGGCCATAAGGATTTAAAGTAATTACCCCATAATTCAGGCAGAAACAAGTGAACTAGAAATTCATCCATTCCTAGAATCATAAGACTTTCCATGTATCCACCCTTTTGGCTTAGAACAAGATGCCTACGTGACAGTAACAAAATTGTAATTTTTGCAGGCTAAAGTTTGAGGGCACTTCAATCATTACGCCAATGCATAACCATTGCCTGTGGGAGCAAACTATTTTGTGAAACTGCTAAACACTGCCTGTACACAGAAAATACTTGCCAAGCATAATTGGGTTACCAGCCAGTATGTTATGCAATAACATGACTCACCACTGGTTCTCCATTGAATTCTACACTTAAATTTGTTAAACAGAAGTTTTTGCTCAACAGTTCCACCAAGCTGCCCATAATTATTTGCAAGAGACCAGGAACCTTTTGTGTCAGAAAAGTTCTGGAACCAAGGTTCTGCAGATACAAAGTGTGTTTAGCTGAAGGAAATTAGGAAGTAGGGTACCAGACAGCACTGTAGTAATTGAATGCACTCCTACTCACCAGGGTTCTGTTGTCTTCCTCTAATCTCTTGGTGCGTTCCTTGACATCATGCACGATGCTAGTGGATTCCAATTGGTAGGTGTCCACTTTGCCCTTGATGGCGCGGACTTCATCCACTAACGTAGTTGTGGCCCTCTCCAGCTGCTCCCTCAGACGATTGGACTCGTCAAAGTCATTGCGAAGTTCAGCAATTCTGTCAGGTTCATGATCAGTAAAAAAAAGGACCACATTTAATTTCACACCAAATTTTTTGCAAAGAACCAAGTTTCAGGTTCTTGTACAGAAAAACTCATGAAAACCGATGGTAAGCATAATCTATTGCTATAAGAGGTGTGCACGAATGCTTTATTACCAAGCGAATACTTCCCAAACACCACTAGCCGATATTTGCAGTGGAGTTGGTTGACACAAACCATTGCAAACTTTTAATAATGAGCACCCGTGTATTCATACAAGCGGAGGCAGGCAGAGTGTTCTAAGTCAACCAGACACTCCGAGTTCACAAGACAGTACATTCTCCCAATACTTATCCCCAGAAAGATCTACTTCTGGCCTGAGGGTAGGCATCAGTGTAGCAAGAAAGATTGATGAGAGTTGATGAACAGAAGAAATCTTTGAATGATCGTAGTGGAGACAAGAAGGGGACGTAGCAAAGTTTGGTTGAAAAAATGTGGACAAGGTACAACCATTTCAAGCTGGGTGTGACCACCATTTAACAGACTCATGAAATGTTGATATAACCAGTTCCCTACACAAAGTTGAGTGAAAGAGTTTATCAACCTTTGAAATGGAAGGGAGCCGAGGTGGTTTATTCATCCTTAATAATAAATCATGTCCTATTTGATTCAATTACACCTTGTATATGCATTGCTGAACATTTATTCTTGTATAACTAAGGTGAAATTCATGAGCACGTACTATCCTCGTGTGACAGCTATGCTTTGTAAGGTGCATGCGCACTCACCCGAGAAAGCCAGGTAACTGTCTAGGATGCATGTGCATTTGACTGGCATGCATATTATAGCACACGTGCCTGACAACCAGCAGATGATGATGGCGATGGTGAATGGACCAGTTAGAAGTTGGATTACAATCATGAATATGTGTGAGGTGTAATGCTAGACACAATGAAACAGCAGGCACCTGCTGCCTGTAGTACGTCAACACAGGGGCCAATGGACTCACTTGGCGAGTTGCTGGTCGCGCCTGGCCACCAGTTCCTGCTGGCTCCCCAGCACTGCCTGCTCCACCTGCTTGGTATGGTTGACCAAGGCCCCTACCGCTGTCCGCTCATCCGACACCCGCTCCTCCGCCCGCTTCAGTCGTGCCCCCAGCTGGCCGATCAGGTCATTGCTGGCCCGGATGTTGTCAGCCAGCTGCTGGCGGGCCTGGCGCTCACCTTGGAGGGCTTCGTCTGAGCGCAGGTGTGACTGCTTCAACTCCCCTGGGGAGGAACACAACATCACATTTTGTTTAAACTCACATATTTCAGGGCCCAAGTCCAATGAGCTGTTTCCAACAATGCTATCAAAGCATATTTCACAGCTGAACAAAAGTGAGCAGAGAACCATTCACATGCAATGCACTTCACATGAAATTTTGACTGGTAACCTGTTTTGCTAAGCAAACATTTCACAGCGCTTAGCAAACTTCTGTTCCGAGCAGCTCTTGGAAATTGGCCCTTGATATTACATTCTGAAACCTGATTGGTCATGAAACAGTCACATGGCACATTAATCCCTTTTACACAAACAGAAACCAACTGTATAGAGCTGCAAAGCAGAGAAATTGGATAAGAATGTGAAAAATATTTGGGATTCCCATTCATTGATTAACATTTTGCAAGTTTCATTTAAAGGCCCACATGGAAGATGCTCTGCCAAGTTTCAAGTCATTTTGGGTCCCTTTTGATCTTGATATAAGAGCAGGTCTAAAGCTGCTGCTGTCTGAACATAGTCAGTGCCTGATCTCTCCCACTGAGGTTATATACACTGCTTCAGGCTAGTACCTCTTAATCGGACGACTTCTTCCAGTAGCGCCCGGCAGGACTGCTCCGACATGTTCAGCCGTTCCTCTACCTGGCGTAACCTGTTCTCTGTATAGTCCCCGGCAAAGGCTGGCACAGCTGTAATGTTGGACAGCTGAGACCGCCGCCCGCCAATGGGGACAATCTGGTTGTAGTCATTGGGCTGGGGAGTCTGACTTGACTGGTTGCTGGGATTAATGGCGGGAAGAGGGGCTGGCCCAAACTTGTTGAACGGCCTGTGAGACACAAATAAATGAGAACACAAGTAGCAACATAAACAAGTAATCACAGGTCTTCATAAGTCTTCACAAATTACCAAAAACCTATCACAAATCAATCAAAAGTCATTATCAATACCATAAGCTACCAAAAGTCCATGAAAAGCTGTCATAAGTCATCACACAAAGTGCATTGTACTGTACACTATTCATGTACATGTCAGTCATGATAAGTCAGCACTGTACTCCTATGTTCAAGTCAACCCCAAGTCATCTTAAGTCATCATCACAAGTCCATCAAAAGTCAGAGCAAGTCATCATCAGCGCCATCTCAAGCAAACAACTTCACAAACAGACCACTTTTTGTCAAATGCAAACACAGAGCTTCTCTGTCTGTTTTTTTTTAAACAACTGCTTCACAGTTGGGTTGAGCGACTTGTGCATGTGTAAGTTGTACTTGAGACTGTAGGCAATAAGACAGTTGGCACTTTTGTACTAAGCTCTGAAATTTTGCTATTAAATTCCAGCTCGTAAGTATGGTTGTCATTCCTATCCTGAGTACATAATGAAGGTGTACACAGAGATCCGCCTTGGTCAGGTTGAGTAAACAGAAGGATGGACAAACTTGATGACAGCTTCGATGCTGTGATTTAGTTTTAATCCAAGATAACTGATCTTGAAAACCATCTGAAGAAGCTGCAGAAACTGACACCACTGATACAAAAGGCAGGGAAAATAACCTGCCGACCACCTTGAAAACCTGGAAAATTGGAAAGATTCAGTTGCCAAAATAACATCAAGAAAAGAACAAAGATTGTCTGAAACATATTTCTCAGATGTTTCATGGAAAATTTGGTATGCATGATATTAAGCTAGAGGGAGCCCATCTACCTGCAGATGGCATAAAGCGCCAAAACCCAATGGCATGGGGAGGAGGGTTAACACCTGTACCTACGGTTTCTCTGCAAAACAGGAGGGGGCCCTTGATGAAAGCTATGAATGACTTTTCAACATATCAATACACAGAATTTTACATAAAGATTGAACTTGCCTCCAAAATAATTTCTCATCTTCTGGTACCCGTACATTGCATGTACTGTACGTGTATATAAGCACAATGTACCTGTACATCCATGCATTTCATAGAAGGCAGCAATGCATTGCGCAGTGCTCTCAGGAAGGGAAACCTGTATCTAGGGCTATTATGTCTGGCTTCACATTGTCTACAGAATGACATGCCAGTAATACATTTGTAAATAACACAGGCAAGTACTACAGCAGCCACCTCCAATAAACCTATGGACATTACGGTGGGCAATGAACATTTATGGTTAAGCAGGTAATCACTCCCATGGGATGACACTCCATTTCAACTTCTGTGCTATTACTGATACATGTATCATGGAGCACCCTAAATTCACAGATACAAATATTCACGCATCCAGCTCGCTCATCGTGAAACTCTTGAATGAAATTATGCACTGTTTTCTCAGATTTTATCTGTTCAAATAAATATGGAAATCCAAATCGAACGCAGTGTCATTTGCCTTCAGAGCTCAATTATAACAAGCTAAAAAAGGGCTTTTTTCTGTTCATGCCAAGATGCAAATGCTGAATGTAGATTTGGTCATTTGGAGAAAACAGGGAAAATGAGGGTTTTCTCTGTTTTCTCTGAAGAGATTTGGATGCTTCCATATTTATTTGAACACTTGAACAGATAAAATCAGAGAAAATATGTTCTCCTTAGAGGTGCTCTTTGAGTCAGTGCATAATTTCATTCAAAAGGTTTCACAACAAGTGAGTTGTTGGATGCACAAATATTTGTATGCATGTAATGCCAATGGCTATACATGTACATACACTGTTTGGGTTTGGCATGCACAAGGGTTTATCCACTACGAACACAGAGCAAGGGTTCCCCTTGTTTCTCTGAATGACACAACCTACATTCAGCATTCACATCTTCGCAAGAACAGAAAAAAAGCCCTTTTTAGCTTGTTATTCATGTACATGTAGCTGAGTCCTGAAAACAAATGACACTGCATTCGATTTGGATGCTTCCATATTTATTTGAACAGATAAAATCAGAGAAAACATGTTTTCCCAAGAGGTGCTCTTTAATTTACTGTCGATGATCGATGGTCACTTCAACATTTCTCTTTTTGCAGCTACATGTGTGAATTAGAAGCTTTTCCAGGGAGAACTCAGGAAAAAAATGTCAGTAGAGCATGAAGTTTTACTTTACAGATTAACTATAAATGAATCAGTTGATATTGTCTAGAACATGGATAAAATGAGCACAGTTCACTCACTATTGGTTATGGACGTCCGATACAGGCACTAATGACAACTTCAATCAACTTTCGCCAACTATTGAGGGCGTTGCCAAAAATATGGAGTCTGAAAAACCACTTTGCACCTTATTGAAATGAAGTCCAAAAAATTTAAATCTACATGTACACGTAAGAGAACCAAAAAGAGAAAGTGATGGGAATTCAAGCTATGGTGAAAAAAGGTTTTTTCCTCAAATTGCATCATTAAACCAAAGTAACTAATGCAAAAAAAAAAAAGATTCCTCATTCAAGAGATATTGATTGACAGATTTTTCAGAAGTAGGGCATGACCAATACCCGGTAAAATGACATTTGCAATGTACATGTACTTGCATGAATTATGGCTACTTAAGTTTTACTACAGCCAATCTGACTCATTGGCAGACATTGTTCCTGTTGCTTTGGTGACATCCGATATTCTTCATAATGTTTTCCATGTAGGACTTTAGTCAAACATTCAATCATTGAGAATGAGGCCATAAAAATATATTTCGTTTAAGAACAAATTTTGGTCAAGTACTAAGTGCGCGAATCATGGTGACTCGTGGATATATAGTATGAAATTAGGCTTGTCTTTCCCATTGAAATATTTTGTCTCCTGCTCTTTAGGAAAGATGGACGATGTACACTACATGTAGAGGGGGAAATTTCAGCTAATAATAATCAGACTTCAGACCCGGATGAAAGAGCCACATTAATGTACGTGTATACGTGTAGACATGTGCCATACTAGTACATGCCAACCCTAAGCCAGTCAAGAGATGTAATCTTGATGTACATGTACATCCTACTCTTCGTGTGTGAGGTGTTACCCTATTGATGTCAATGACCTTGTTATCCAAATTCCAAATCAATAGCCGTGATCTAAAGCACATTTGTTGCCATGGTGCAGGCGACAACAATGCAATATTTAACCAAGGCTATACATGTTTCATCTCTCCATAACTAATGCTCTTGCCATGAGTAGATTAAATCACCTGATTACAGTTGGATGCAACAAAACCAGATCCCAACATTAGGCTAAAGATTAGGTACGGTACATGTAGGTGTAGGTATGTGGGCATTTTTTTTTACTCAATATCATAGACACCTGTAAACATAACATATGGAAGAAGATTTGTGTCAATTCAGGTAATTCAGAGGTCAAATATATGATTTTACATTCAATCAAGTATTCAACCAACCATGCAGTTACAATGTAAAAATATGTATTAAATTCCCAACTATTCCTGATATCAGAGAAAAGGAAGTGACTTCTGAGAACAGCAACTCTACCAGAAAACCAAACAAACGGTACTTAATGTTATTTAAAGTTTTTTGACATAGAAATGTTTAGAATTAAGAGTATTGTGAAGACGGATATTGGCATTTTGTTTTTAACTGCAAATAATAACCTTTGGACTTTGATGAGCTGTAAAAACAGGTTCTATCAGTATTGTGGAAGAAGAAGGTTATTTGGATCAGCTAGCTGAAATACTGGTAAGGTTTTAAAAAGCATTTTTCATACTAAAAGAATTTTTGCTAATTATTTTACAGTACATTGTTATATTTCCAATTATTAAATTCCCAAAATAAATAGCCGAAAACTTAATAATCAATAAAAAAATAATATTCAGATATTTGGCACAGTCTTATATGAACATGTACTGAATGTGTAAATACATGTATATGGGGGAGACATGTACACATGTGCAGCACCCATGACGGTGTACATGTACATAAATAAGCAGCGATGTTTGCATGTATGCATATACAAACATGTACCGGTACATGTAAATATTTGTAAACAAAATTATGTGAATGCTTGCGTGAATTTAATTTCCAGCCTTTTCATAGCAGTAATATTTTGTACTTTGGGAGAATTTCTTTTTTTTACCAACCAAATATTAAGCACCACACCAGTGTGCAGTGTGCACACATCAAGCCAAAAAATCCACACATCGCTGCCATAGTGTTATAAATAAAATCTGTCTATTTTTCCATTTATCTTCATTGAAAAAAAATTGCATTGATTGCTTACGCTGGATCACTGTCAACATAGCTCCCGTTCATCTGCCACATCTTGCTGAAGTTGTCTGGCTAGAAAGTACCCCTGTGCAGCAATCATGCGTGTGGGCTGAGCAGCAAGGTCCTCATGTTACAACACACTGTCAAAAATAATGGTGAGACAGGAACATGTAAGACAGGGTACTGGTCTCCACCACCACTGCACAAACCACAGTGAAGAGTTGGTTGAGTTTGGGTGAAAATTATGAGTAGAAACAAATGTATACATACATGTACAGATGCCTAGATGACAACTGAAGTTTAGCACTGGCTGATGCTAATGGTCAATTAGCATTATTAGCATTAAGGCCAAATACCACAACTCATTCATTTGGGAACCGAATTCAATGGGGTTTGCTGTATTGAAAGTAATGAATTGTACTTCTCAACTGCATAAATGACAGGTTAGGGAGTGCTATTATGGTCATTTTTTTTCTTCTGGGACACCCTGTATTTGCTCAAACCAAATATCAAATTTGGCTTTATAGAAGGGAAGACAAGATGTTAACTTCTCACATGCAATGTCCTTCTTCAAATTAACATACTTTAGACTCGCATCAAACCTGTCAAACAATGGTTAAACCCACTGAAGAAAATTTCTTCGACCGGTAATTCTGAGACAGCACAAGAGTTTGCCAAACACACTTTGCTCAAACACACATCTGCAGAATTCCAATGATACTGAAAGTTACCAGGCATTTAATTTAGTTGCATTCAAAGAAAACAACTGAAATCAATACATGTACCGTACCTGACAGCAGTTTCTGACGAGGAACAGACATTCTGCAATAGGAATTATTACTTTCTCCAGCACATAACTGCACTACTGAGCACACATGGGTAACAGCCAACAATGGCCGTGTTACAAATGCTAAGCGGAGATGACAATAAACCAACTATATTGATTTTCTTGCACTACGCTACACGTATGCTGTACCGTACCATACTAACACACAACCTCCAAGGGTAGGCTGTGCTGTACACATGTACATGTACCTCAACTACATGTACATGTACAGCACATGTCTGGGAGCAAGCATCTGTCAAGAATTGTTGAACAACACTAGCTGGTAGCCGTGGAAACACGGCTTCCACAACACCACGTACTTGGGCAAAAGGTCACATTAATTTAATATAATATAAAAACTGTAAGTATGGATTTCAGCCTGCATGAGATTGCATGAACTATACAAGTATATGGGCGGAGTGCATACAACGTGCACGCCATCAAAATTGGTCATTTTTCCCCATAGAAAAACAGCAAATACAAAATCACAGCTGGGAGTAAAGTATACAAACTTATGCACATGTATCATCAAGAAATCTGTAATAATCTGACTAAAGTTATTCACAATTTTTAGTTTAAAGATCCATGTACTGTACAAGTACATTACTGCAGCATAAGGCCCTTTCCTTTTGTGGGTTCTTGTTTTCCCAATTTGTCAAACTAAGACAAGGGAGGAATGGTCACTTCTGTATTCAAGTATAAACAATGTACATGTAATTCAACAAATTACTTCCAACTTGGTAGGACCAACAACTCAACTGCATTCCAGGGATCTATAACAATTCTGGCATCGGGCCAAGCGTTCCCTCCCTTCTGAATAAAAGCTTTTAACAATTATCAAATCTGGCATTGGGCTAAATACACGTATCTACTGCTATTTTTTTTAATACAACCTGTATACAAAATCTAAACCATAATTTATTTACAGAGTTGTGGAGGGACCAGCATGCCAACTACCAATCAGCAAACTGGTAAAGAGAGTTTGGACTAACAGTTCATTGAATGTATGCCGGGGGGGGGGGAACCAGCAGAGCATAGCAACTTACTAATGAGGGCATCGCTATAAAGCATGCTCATTACAATATCATTTTGTTCATGTCTCATCTCCAATGAACAGTATTATCATAATGAAAGATTAATCGTGAAACAACATTAATTGAACTTATGGGATATGAGTCATCATTACCAGGGAACGCAAAAGCATTCATTCTCTGCTTTCACCGTGCACCTGTTGAAGAGAATTATGCAACAGCTTTTGCTCAATACACACAAGCAAAGGGAGTTTACGTTCTGCTGCTTATTAACCGTACATGAAAGCCTGGGTGAAATCCCAGGGTGTGGCACTTGCGTTGAGACTGCCCAACAAGAAAGCTGGCTGCTGCAAAACGAAGCTTTTGTTTTTCCTCCACCCGCCCCACCTATCAACACCAAGTTATCAAGTTTTAGGCTATTTTAGGTGTGTACTAAAGTTTATCTATTTTCAAAAACAATCGCAAACGATAATTAAGATTACACGTAACGGTTAAATAATGTTTTGTAATTACTCAAATGAACAAAGAAATGTGTAATGCTTAATTTGACAACTACATGTATGTATTCCAGGAAAACATAGTTTAAATTTAATTTTATATCTAATTACAAATGTTTCATTTATGCATACAAATAAAATAAAAACTGTGAATTCCTAACCCCAGAACATCAAAAGCAAAAGAGCAGTTTGGGCTTATCTGTGACTCAGAAACCCATAAATGAATTTAATCCATTTGGCATTTGAAGACAACCAGAAAGTTGATGAAACGTTCTCAGTTTGTGATGTCGCAGTAAACACTGAACATGCTTGGTGCACATGTTAGGCAGTACCAATTTACTGAACCTGTCTCCTGTAAAAAAAATGCATGGAAGAAGCCCATTGTGGAAAGAGATGAAAACTGTAAACACATTTTTAAAACAAAGCATGGGTGTCAGTCTATGGAGCTCATCTTTTCTTCCTTCATAAACTCAATTTTGCACTCAAAATTCATGTACATGTATACAATACAGTCTCTGATGTACATGATGTGCAAACTTACATTTGTTGTTCACACAAAATTCAAACATTTAATTCTCAAACCCTTCATTTCATATTTTCCCCGAGCTATTTTGAATTTTTTGGGGAGAGGGGAGGGGACTCGCAAGGAAATTGATGATACACTGGGAGTATATGATTCGTGGCAAAGGGGGAAAACTGATTTTGCGGGCAAGTCTGTTGTTGTTAATTGTGGTTGTTTTGGTTTTTGGAAATTGTTTTCACCAAAGTCTGAATGTAATCACATCAAGAGGTTGCAACACAATAAGCCACTTTGGAATTCCAACTGGTTGCCTGATCTCCTCCTATCCATCATGGGGGGCATACAGCCACCCAGGCCAGATGATCCCTTCCAAGCTACCACAAACCTGCTGAGCGAGAGCTTGCAGTCAGTCTCCTGCTGGCACATCCAAGCAAGTTAAGTACATGTATAATGCACATTTATATTTACACAAGTTACGAGTAGTTTTTGAAACAGTTAAGTACAGCTGTTACCCACATTTACCGACCACATTTACCCAGAAACCTGACAGCACTGATGTTTCTAGGTTTAAACAAGTCTTACTACACGTGGACGTGTGTAAATTACTCAATTATTCAACCATTAGGCAGTGCTGTACCATATAGTATAGTTGAGGCTATGTACATCTGTAGTCCTTGAATTAGAGGACTTTCCAATGAACTCTGACAGATGCATTCCTTTTGTAACTGTTCATCCTGTCACATCACATGAAAGGACTTGTGGCACAACACATGACAGCCCCCCTTACAACACTGCCACATGAGACCTGGGGGTACCTTGGGGATACCAGTGTACTTGACCATAAGTCGTGATTACCTACGGTATAACTTGTAAAGGTAACAGGCACTGAATGATAACAAACACAATCCTGCAACTTCGGTTCTGTCACAAATCTGATTTTTAAGTCAGATTTAAGGTGTTACAAGATTTATCCCCCTTGAAGATATGAGAAATTAGTGCAAACAATTATCAAGTTTTTTGCTGTTTTCCCCAAAAGTCGAAAGATTATCCCCACTGTTTTTCAAATGTTTGAACTGAACCTTACAGGAACATTCAACTGCAGGATGCATCACTTTCGTTTTTATGATTTGTGACTTTGGAGGATATTTTCTAAGGGGTATTAATTTTGAAATTGCACCCTGTGAATATGAATTCGTAATGCGAATATGAATTTGTCATGACAATGTAAGCAAGGAACCGAAGACAGGTGCAGAAAACACATTTGGTTGACATGCTGACGCACAGCAAAGCATATCCACTGCCTTTGTGTAATATTTTAACCACTTCGCGCCAGGCCCATTTATCCCTGTTGATTCTGCTGGGCCAGGTGATTTTTTTTTCTGCTTTCAAAATTCTGTAAAAATTCATAACTTCATTTACTGGGTGTTTACACCAACACGAATGACTGTCTGGTGGCTACTCTAATCTGACAGACAACATCTACTGACGCCCGAGTATTTCAGCCAGGCCAGCCGCCTTGTAAAAAGAGCCTCTAGAGATTGGGCAGTGTTATGCAAATTTTTTTTGTTCCCAAAACCGGCACAGTGAGCACAACTGACATCTTTTCAATTGGGGCCACATTAGCAGCTCAGTCTTTTGTTCCGAGTACAATCTTTTGTTACAAGGCCCAGCTCTTGTCTGATTTCGGGCTCTCAAGCTCCGTGTATGAAGCCTGAGATGTGTCCAATACCGGGTCCCCCAGCAGCAAGTGGTCAGTTGGTTAAACCACTAATGTTAATGTTGGACACAATCAGCCAATCTGCTTGATTGACTGATTGCTCTACACAATTGGTACTAGTGCTGTAATGGGACTAGCCTAGTATATCCATACTCAAGTCTATGGGACCATAACGTGGCACATTGACTACAAATTAGCGTGCGACAACAACACATCATTAGAGCCTAGGTCTACTGGAAACTACAAGAAGGACCTAGTTGACAGACGGGCGTCTATTAAATCCCTGACTAAAGGCGCCTTTCCACCTACATTTTTTGGGTGCGTTGCA